TTATTTTGAGAAACACTTTAATGTACAGTGTAATTCTATTCCTTGACGCATCTGTTCTTCATACGCAAAGGTAGATGCTGCTTTCCTTTTTTCAGAAGTGTTTTATGAATTTGAAGATTACTACTTTCTTCTTCCCACTTCAGTTTTGGCTCTTATATTTGTAATTTGAACTAGTCTTTTGCACAAAAATGGGGATGCCAGGATATCTGTAAGATTAGTTATTGTGAATATTCATTGAAGCAGTCAATTGCTAACTTCTGACTTTTTTTCCCCTGAAGATGACTAACTCATTTGCTTCCTTAGGGCAGATTTACAATTGGAAGTGCAGTACTTTTGACTTCTTGCTTGCCTTTACTCAAGAACCAGTGCTGTAGCCATCACCATGGTAAAGAGACTGACTGACACAAGCCCTCCCTGTTCCATACTTATGACTGTGCACTACCTGCTTTAGCACAGTAGTGCTGCATGTAGCCTACAGCTTGAAAATTGAGACAGCTGAAACCTAAATATTTTATTAATCCATTAGTATGCAACACAGAGCATTGTTAAAACTGACTTGACATATGCACATATCAATAAATAACTGTCTAGTTTCTAGTACCACTAGACTGAACTAATACAGCTGATACCCATGTATTGTCTAACATTAATTTTCAGTTAAAATTCAGTTAAAGGTTTATCCTTTAACTGATTCTTAGCAAAATGAACTTAGATTCAAAGCTAAAACTAGCAGAATAGAAACACAACCACCATCTAGATTTTCACTGAACTTCATTTTCTTCTCCTTTTATTCATTTTCTATCTTAAAGAACAATTATTAGTATATTCAGCTAATAATTACCTATAAGTAGATTAGCCTTGCACATTTTGGTTTTATCTTTTCAGTGAAGTAGGACTACGGAAAACCATTCAGGAAAGATAGTGAGACTTTTAAAAATAAAATGGTGCTTAAGAATTTTCTTCTAGATACTAATCATATGTAAATCTCTTTTTACTTTTTAGTATGTGACTTCCTTGGGGAAAAGATTGCATCTGTTCTGGGGATAAGCACACCAAAATACCAATATGCAATTGATGAGTATTACAGAATGAAGAGAGAGGTATGTGTGTGAGATAGGGTTCTTGCACTCCTTTTCTCCCAACTTGCCTTCCCTGGTATTTTAAAAAAATAATAGTTGTATTCTAGCATTTAAATGAAGTTTAAGACCCCCAATTTCAGCTTGCCTTCAGTTTTCATTTGATGCATGGTTAGTGCTTACTTAGCCATCAGCCTTTTCTCTCCGGCTTATCAGTCCTAGATGGCTGAGTCCTGACCACTGCTCTGTTTGTTTCTCTTGTACAATGCATTTGCAAGTCAACAGTGTGGGAAAGTTGGATGGACAGTTTTGCTGAACACTATAAGGAGGTGGCTGCTAGCAGTATACTTTGCAGCTCTAAAACTTGTTCAACACGGTGTCAAGGGTAAATTGAACAGTTATGCTACCACCATAACTGGACATGACTGAAAAGTAGCCAGTGCTTTAGGCAAAAAATCCCAAACCCTTAGTAATCTTCATTTGGAAGAGGTGGAAAACATATTTAAAGCTTTATTACTTATTTTTTGATAGCTGTTATTGAGAGCTGGAAAAACTTTAGAGAAGGTAGACCTATCCCTATTGCCATTAACTAAAAACTGCTTATCTAGATATATGTCTTTTTTTGGTTTGTTTAAAATGGTTTGGTTTTTTGTTCGTTTAACATGGTTTAATCCTTCACTTGTGGTGATTTTTTTTCCATGATGGAAGTTCTGGAATATACCTCATCTTATGATCAGGTAATGACTGTTTTCTAGGAGAACTAATGCCCTTGCCTTGTAATAGGAACTGGTACGCTCTTATGGAAAGACTTCCAAGTTAATGTAAATAAGTGGTAAATAGTAGCATATGAATCTGGTTATCTCTCTAGGAGGAAGAGGAGGAACAGGAAAACAAGATGTCAGAAGAAGCAGAAAGACAGCATCAGGAACAGCAGAACAAGCCACAAGCTGAAGCTCCTGTCCAGACAGACCAGCCTGAAGCAACAGCGTGCTCTTCATTCGTGAATGTAAACTTTGAAAATGAAGGAGATTGCCCGTCCATTGGGAAAAATAAACAAGATGTAGTTCCCGTCCCTCCTTAAGTGTAAAGCTCTGTATAATGTAGGAAATAAGAACTGTCAGGTGTCACAATCTGGCTATAAACAGGAAAATAGGATTATACTTGTTCAGTGAAATACAACTCCTACCATTCTTATTGATCAGGAGAGAGCTAGGCGATGTCAGTTCTGTCTGCCTAATAAAGGCTGAGGCATTCTGCCAAATTGGCACTTCAGTTAAAATGAAAATTGCACTACAAACATTTGGTCTAAAATTGAATGTGTGAGCTAATTTCTGTGTAAAGCAAGTAAAAATGTCTTTTCTTTGAATTGCTGTGTCTCTAACACCTGTGGATTGCAGAGGCAGTGCTGTTTCCTACTTCTAAACACCTGTTTCTGATTTGCACATTGTTTGCAACTCAGCTCTCTATGAATAGATTAATAGGAATTAATATCCTGTAACTCACAATAATAAGAGTCTGATTTCCCCTATTTATTGTCGCTACTGTATGCATGTATTTTTTTCTGTTGTTAACATAAGAGAAACTGTTAGATTTAATGTTAATTAGATTTAAGGGTCCATTGACTTTTTTTATTTAAAAAAAAAACTTTCCAGGGGGCTATAAACACCCTTAAGAACTTAGTAACAAGTACCAGCACTCTTGGAGGCTGATAGTGCTCAGCTGCTCCATTCAATGCTGTAGCAAAGTACAGAACTATTTTAAGTGTAAGACATTCCCACTATAAGTCCAAGAATTAAGAAACCCACGTGCTTGAATGCGTGTTCTCAATGGTCCTGGGAAAGAAACTAAAGTCTTGCTAAATTATATTGAGTGCACTGGACACTCTGTATGGTACCAGTCTAGAACTATGAAAACTTTTTCAGACATAGATTACTCAAGTCCATGTACTTGAGCGACCTAAACAAATTATGTGTTTAATGGTAAATTACTAGTAAGGGATGTGCCATTGCAGGTATTTTTCTCCCCTCTAGCACAGAATACTAAATAACGAGAAACCACAAAACAAACTTGTGACTCTTTCCTTCTCTTAAATAAACACAGTGTGTTCTGATATGGCACATGCAGCAACAGTAATTTTTATTTTTGTCCCAAGTGAAGTGCAGGTAGCTCCAAATCAAATACCGATTAAGGCGATTTTACTGAAATGACTGTTGTACCTGTAGCTGGTAAAAGGTGAATGGTTTACTTTGCAACAACCAGATGTCAGTGCCCTAGGCATTTTCTGTGGAGAACTGTTGTGGGCAAAGGAGCAGAGAACCTGCACTAGGTATAGGTACCATGGTACCTATATAGACATATACCTATATATACATATGTATATATATATACATATACATATATATATATACACATTCCTATAGGTACCATTACTTCTGTCCTTGAGATTTCCAAAAAAAATTTTAAAAACAGTCCAGTGTTGCATTGGGTATCATCACATGTTCCTGGCCTTGCTTTCACTGCCAACTAACTAAGGAGCCTGATGCAACACCACAGGCCAGGTAACTTGGCTATTAGTTTCCAGAGTTTTGTATATCAGACACCCCTCGGCCTGAACTAGTGTCCTGGGCAGCACAAACTCCTCCTCTCATCTATCTGTAGCATTCCATCACTACAGAAAATGTGAGGAAGAGGATTCAATCATCATCTCTTCTGTTTTGATACTTTGCCTCTTTTTGAATTTTAAGATAGAGGGTACTGACCACAGTGTAAAATCATTCCTTAGCCCTGAACATGTGCAAAGGAGAGCTTGGTTCAACACCTGGGGAATACAAAGAAAACCAACTTGTTGAGAGTTCTTATACTGTCAGAGATAGAAAGCCTCACGTTGCTTGAGTAATACCTTGACAGCTGAAGGATGCTTTGCTTTTCTTCCAAGAAATTAATGTCAGTTGGTTTTTTTACCTTCTCTCCCTAGTATTTGTTGCATCAGAAATACTCTCACTGCCTTGGGTTTAAACTTCTTTGTATAAAATACTCTTATTACTCACTGTGCCTTAACTTAATCCTTCCTTCAGTTTTTTGCAAACTGTATGAAAGTTGTTACTTTCATATTGGTTTAATTTTTCTGTAAATGCATTAATTGGTTATTTTATATTTAATATAATTTTTGAACTGGAAGTTGGTTATGGCTTTTCTTTTACAACTGGGTGGTCTTTGAAACTTTATGCCTGTACACAGGTGGCTGTTCACTGTTTACATCTTTACTAAGTCACACATCCTGGTTGAATATTCAGGCACCGGAATTCAAAATATCGTTCTACCCCACCCCTTCCTTAAGAGTCCCATGTAGTACTCTGTGTGTTCAGCACTACCTCAAACTAATAAATAATGCAAGACTGCAAACACTTCTGGCCTGGAGCTATTGTAATCCTACCTGAAAGTTGAAACATTTCTACAGCTCTCTTAAAGAGTTTCACAGCTCAGCTGTACAATTAGGTTAGATTACATAAAATACTTGCACGGGAGGTTAAGTTGGTGAAAGCCTCAATACAGGTGTTTGGATTAGTTTTAACTAGGCCTAAAGCTACTGCAGTTTTATTTCTGTTAATAAACCTCTTAAAAGTCAGGTAACTATTCAGTCAGTTCAATGATTTATTTATCCTTTCTGTTAAGCCACTTAGAGCTGGATATGTATAGAAGAAAAAGGCCTAAATTATTATTCTCCTACTGAAGACTGCTTTCACAACAGAGTACTCAACAGTGCTGTCATTAGAGGAAGCCATACAGAATGCAGTGGGAGGCTTGGAATGGCTGAAGACACCAAGACACCAGTGCTGAAGACACCAAGAACCACATCCTTACTTTCAGGGTAATTCACACTTAGAATAGCATATTTAAAAAAGAATAGGGCCTATTACACATGAAAAAAGTCAAAAAATATTTATTTAAAAAAAAAGATAATTTTTGCCTCTTAACACTTGCTTTTTCTGGTTTCAGAAATTATTTCTGTGATTCCTGCGCGTACCGCATTTTACATCATACGTGGGGGCAAGGTGGGAAGGGGAGGGAAGTGAAATGGAAGAGGAATTGATTCAAGTAATGAATGTTTCCAGCTCCCAACAGTTGGGGCATTAGATTAAGATATCTCTATGGATACAGTCTGCTCCAGTTCGAAGTCACGCATCATCAACATCAGCAGTGTTGTCATTATCACTTGCCACAAGGACCTCTCTGTTCTCGTATGTCCAGAACCCATTCAGGTCAATTAGAATGCTGGTAACAGTGTCTCCTTGACTGCTATTGATCAAGTCTTGAAGGGAGATTTTGTAAGGGTCCTTAGGCTTCACCATATCAAAGATTTCATCCTATGAAAGAAAAGTCAAAATTGGGAGAAACCCCCCCCCCATATTAATGAGCAGAATAATGGCTATTTCATACTGTATGATCTTTGGGTAACTAGTGCCACCCACACCAATTTACAAAAAAGCAGCTAGTAAGTCCCAAAGCACTTATGATACAAAGCACACTAACTGGCTACAGTTAGGGGCAGTGTGCTCAGCTCCCACCTCTCAAATAAGAATTTTCCTTACTGAGGAGGCTTTGGCCTCAAAGTGGCAATAGGAAAAACTCTGTTCACTTGTATAAGCTAACTTTTGTAGAAGCTCTTGTACTTTTTTTTTAAGTACTAAAACTGCTAAATATAAAGTAGACAGTAATAAAGACAGTTTTATAAGCTGCTTTTTAAGTCACCAGTCTGCCCCCCCCACTCCCAAGGGATGATCCTGAACTGTAAAATGGACTTAGCAAGTTCCTTCAGGTGTGAGAAAAAGCAACATGTGTTTAACAAGTATCTTACAGAGCAACAGCTGAATAGAAAGACATTTTCAAACCTATGAGTAGGACAAGCCAGTTCATCTCTACTACTCTGCAAGTAGTTATACAAAACCTAGAAACTACGATGTAATTAAATTACAAAATGCTTATTCAAAGATTTCATGTAATACTTTATTCAGTAAAGCTAACCTTGACATCCTGAAAAGAAACTGGTTCTTGTCCATGAATTTTCATTTGTTCCTGAATAGCCTAGAAAAAAAAGAAGTTATGAATGGCTAGTGCAGTATATACTGACACTGTGTGAAAATTTTTAATGCTTCTGCATCTTAAGCTGTATTTCCCTGTAACAAAGCATTCATGGTACAGCTTGCAATCATTTTTCTTCCATAGGTAAGGCAGGGGTGAGTTAAGGCATTATCAATGATACACATCTCAGGTTCACACTTCTTAATGTGTATGATAAGAATCCCACTTTCATTATGACCAGCGTTTAAGCACTCTGCAAATGGGAAATTCAGACACTTGAATATTATCCCTCAACACTCAAAACTTCAGGTACTAATACACCCTAACCAGAAGGTTACATTTTCTGACAAAGTATGAAATACAGGGTAGGAAAAGAGAGAAGGGAAAAGACCAATCAGCAGAAAGACAAATTAATTCTTTTAATGTGGTACTATTTAAACACCTGCATCACCAAACCTATGTCTTCAAGGAACAACTGTAAACAAAAACGCTTCACTAGCACAAGGGGCGCAGCCTTGTCAGCATAGTTGTATCAGCACAGCCTCTGCAGGTGCTGACCTGTTCACACACAACACTAACAGGAAAGCAACTATTCAGAGCCAAAAGGAACTGTTCTGATTTCAAGGAAAACTTACAACATTCCATGTCCAAAACTTGAAAGGAGAGACACATTTTGGAGTACGATCAAGTATCTGCTGTAGTGAAGGAGCTTTTTCAATAACTAAGCCATAGAGTAGTATGTAACTGAAGACATGCACAAAACCAGCTACGCCACCATAACTAATGCAAAATTACCTTGTTAAATTGCTGTCATATTAGAATCACTTATGTACTATGACAACACTAAAGTTCATGTTTTTGTAAAATGTAAACCTGTAAATTAACAGCCTTTATTAAAATGAGAGACAGTTGATATGGCCCCTGGCCTCCCTGAATCCTATATCCACATGAACGGAACCGGAGCAAGCGCTGGGAAAACAGTGAGCAGTAAAAGCAGGGAGGGAAGACAAGTCATTGCCTTGTTTCCCTAGGATGCTTAGTATTGCCAAGCCATCATCTGACAGCTGCCCATGAAGCATGTAAGGCAGCTACAACTACTAAACGAAGTTCATGATGAAGTTCAAAAGGCACCCACAGAACTCCTGCCTGGTCCTGCAGCAGAATGACTCCATGCAGCAGAATGCTCCTTGGGCCAGCTGGCTGGAGCAGCTTGGAAGGAAAGGTGCTGGAGGTCTCGGTCCACAGGAAGTTGAATAGGAATTTGCAGGGTGACCTTGTAGTGATGAAGGCAGATAAATACTGGGCTGCATTAGTACAAGCACACCTAGCAGGTTCAGGGAAATGATTGTTCCTCCTGACAACATTTGGCACAGTACTCCAAATTCAGCCTCACAGCTCTGGGCTCCCCTTTATGAGACACTGACAACCCAGTGGGAACCTAGTATAGGGCTATCAGCATGCTTTGGGGGCTACAGCACAGCCAAGAGGAGAGGTTTGAGATGGGGATTAATTCCCCTGAAGAGCAGGTGAGGAAAATCTAATTACTACCTTCAACTACCTAGCAGGTGGTTAGAGACAACATAGCAAGACTGTCTTGGAGACACACAGTGAAAGGGTGAGAGGCAGTGCACACTGACTGCAGCAAGAGGCAGTCCAACTAGACAAAAGTGGGAGGGGTAAGGGGAAAACTCTTCTCAGCCAGGGTAGTCAAAAACCAGAATGCACTGACTACCCAAACAGGTTACAGAGTCTCCCTCTCTGGAGAGATTCAAAATTTGCCTGGGCAAGGCTCTGAGCAACTCAACCTAGCGATGAAGCTGGGCCTGCTCTGAGCAGACGGAGCAGGTGACCTCCAAAGGTCCATTCCACATAATTTATTAGGTGGTTCCAAGGCACTAAAAGAAAAAAAGTTGGCTTTTGTTTTTCCTTTTTTTGTCTATTTGGTTTGTTGGGGGTTTTTTTGTGTGGGGCTGGGGTGGGTGGTGTTTGTTTGCTAAACAAAACAAAACTTTCCTATAAAATCGATTTAAAATCAATTCTGGAAACAACAGGTAAAAATGCAGAAGCTTTTTGCAAGCAATACAGTGAATGAAAAATCCCCCAGCTGTACTGGTCCATCACTGCATTTCATTATTTTCGTTTCTTCTACTGAATTTTAGGATTACAGTGGAAATTAAAACCAATGGCAATAACCAATTAGAACCGTCATAAAAGATTTTAATAGGTAATTATTAGGCAATTTTAGGACAATTTCAATTAAAAAACAAACCCAAATCAATAGAAAATACTTTTCCTAACCGAAATCAGTTAATTTCAACTGCAGATAAACTGCTAAAAATACCTTTTGAAATCTTTCCAATTTTTTTTTTTTAATTTTAAATCTTAAAAGTCATTACTAGCCTCCCTGTGGCTATTGGTAATTTAAAGTGATTTCCTGCAGATCTGCATGCAGAAGTACATAGGCTATAACACTATAAACACAGAAAATGGCCTACTTGTATAAAGAGACTTACCCTAAAGAAATAGTTAAGGGAAAAGACATTCAGGTGTCCTTTGTTCTCTATATCAAGCAGTTTGAAAACATATTGCAGAGCTGCAGGCTCCTTTCTGTTTTCTAATGCAAGCACAAAGTCCAGGTAGGTTTTATAGTCCTAGAAGTAGATACAATCATGTTTATTACAGTCTTCTTTCTAAATTGATTTTGCAAGCAGGAACTCTATAATTGGCAGCTATTTCATTGTAGGGGGCCCAGTCTATTTTCTGAAAAAGACAACATGAAATAGAAAATGGCTGCCACCACTAATGTGAACAGAAAAGTCAGTTTTTAATGACTGATGATGATAGGAAATCCTGTTATTTTAGAAGCAAAATAGGATTCCAAGCATAAATCGAAATTAAACATGCTATAGATACACTTTTAGACAATGTTTAATATATCTCTAGACTGCTGAACATACCCAACTAGTGAAGAAAAACCATATAAAAGGTTTTAATTACAAATTAAATGTGTGGTGGCAGTAAGCCTACTGTTACCCAACAGTGAACTATATGGCCAATTAAGTATATAATCCTTAGACCAGAGTTGGTGGTTTGGCAAATCACATGGTATAAAAACATAAGTAAACATTACAAATAAGTATCCCACTTTTCTTTTTCATTAGTACTGATTCTTGGTTTCCCAATGAAGATAAAGTTGTGACAAGGACAGAAATCCTTCAGTATATAACAGCCCTGTTCACCTTAACACCAGAGGGTTGTGCTGCCATTCAGAGGGAGTTTGACAGGCTGGAAACAGGGGCTAACAGGAGCCTCATCAAGCTCAACAGAGCAACACACATGCAAAATCCTGCATTCGGGGAGGAATAACCCCATGTACCTGTACGTGCTGGGGGCTGACTAGTCAGAAAGCAGCTTTGCAACAGGCCCTTGCAGTAAAGGGTGCTGACAGCATCCTCAGCTGCATTAGGAAAAAACTTTGCTAGCAAGATGAGGAGGGTGATCCTTCTCTACTCAGCACTGCTTAGACTACATATGAGCACTGGTCCTGCTCTGGTCTCTCCCATACAAGAGAGAGATGAACCTACTGTTACAAGTCCAGAAAAGGGCAATTAAGAGATCCCTAATGACCTCAATGATTATGTTTCTACTAAACAACTGCTACGGTGGCAGAAGGGCTGTATATAGAATTTGTAATTTATTGCTTTACATTTCAGTCATCTGAATGCAAACAACAATTAAGTTGTTTTAAGGCTGAACATTAAGTAAAGCTTTAAAAAAATATAGATAAGAAGGTGTTATTTTAACTCTAAGTTAGAATTCTCATTTTTCACAGCTACGGAAAGCTTACAATGAAAAACACTGTTGTCTCCATGAAGAAGTGGACAGGTTAGCTCACTTGCACTAGTTTCAGGTGTGCCACTTGTCTTTGGTTCTTTTTAAAGAATCGTGTAACTAAAAAGCACTCCTACAGCTATACTTTTTTTCAACATGCACTTTTGTTACTGAATCTACAAGAGACTTTATCCTAAGATGTCTTGATTCTGTATCATCTCTGCTTTTTGAAACAAGCAACTTACCTTTAAGTCACACTGCACTCACCTTGCTGTTAAGAAAATTAATTTTCTAATATGCTGCGTGGTCATTTGTGTGCACAATGATAAACCAAAGTTCTTTTACCTCAAGCTATGCTTTATTTCCAAAGATACTGATTGTTAGACATTTCCCAACTCAACAAGCCAAAGCTTTCATGTTGTGAACAAAGTGAAAATATGTGATTACCATTTCACCATCATAAGTTAAGCATTCCTGAAAGACACGATCCAAAAATATGTTGGTCAGAGTCCCTGTTCCATATCGGGACAGTTCTTCTTTGCTGAGCATGCCATTGTGATCTTTATCAAGGTTTAAGTACTGACCTAGGGAGGAGATATTGAGAGCAAACCATAATATACCTCTATCAACAAAGAACTGTTTCAACGGAGAAAGAAAAGTTATCATTTCAACAGTTATTTAATTTCCATAATAAAATTAATGCAGCTAAGTGGGAATATGCTAGATTCACAATAATATTCATAAAGCATCACAAATGAGCATAGATTATGGCAGGAGAGGAAGTGTGATTCCCATAATGAGGTGTTAGTAGTTCTAATCTAGGTAATAGCTGGGTATACAGAAAAAAGAGCAGAAGGCTAAGAGCATATTACTTTAAACAGAGTATATTATTTTTAAGCATGAAAAAAGAGCTAAAGATGATGCAAAAGCATGAACAGAACAGTCAAAAGAGAAGGTTACAGAGGAATCTTGCATCTTGTGCAACAAGCACAAGGTGACATTATAAAACTGTGATAAAAAGCAATAGCGGAGAACTGAAACTGTGAACAAGGTCAGGAAGATACACTGAAAGGATGGCTACAGGATTTGAAAAGACAAGTTAGCACGAGGATTTAACATGACAAAAACAGAGGAAAAAAATAACACTTATAATGTGAGTAAGTCATACAAGGTAGAGAGGAGAGAAGAAAAGCATTCACATGTAAAGGAACCTACCATAAACTCTTAATGCAGAAGGAGCAGAAAACCAGTTTGTTTCCTGACTTTCTTTAGAGAGTTCTTCATCCCTTAACTAAGCGAAACATAAAGTTAGAATTCAGAAAGAGTAAATTAAAATACAATAGTATATGCTAAGAGATCTTTACCTCCAGTAAATCATCCAGGAAGCTGCAAGCTAAAATATCCTGTATCTTTATCTTCCCTGCAGCAAGAAAAGGAAAATACATTTTAATAGTTGCTCTGCCAACACATCCATTTGACTGTTCTCATTTAGGTGGTTCTACTTCAGAAAGAAGCATTCTGAGCAGAAAAAAATTACTTTTAAAAAAAAACAAAACTAAACAAAACTAACTTCTAACAGCACGGATAAGGCTCTAATTTAAGAGATAAAATAAAAATACCTTTTACAATGACTGAATAAAACTAGCCTGACACTGGCAGGAGTTACCCTGAAGCCTTAAAAGCCAGAAAACTAAATAAAAAATGTGTGTGTAAAACAATCAACTCAATGTGTAAAATAAAAAGCGTAAAGAACGCATGCTTAAAAAATTTGTTGAAATAATAAAGTATCTGAAGTGATGTGATATTTTTACATCTTCAGAAACTACAGATGTGACACAAAGCTAAGGTGACAGAATGCACTTCCGCTGGTGAAGCTCTGACTGGCGCACTGACACTGAGCTGAGTAAAATAATGGCACTATAACTTCCCACACACCCTCTCTACATGTTTGTAATCACTTCTGCCAGAGGCTACTGCCCACACAATTCTGATGTTTACAAGTGGCACAGCTAGATCTTGAAAACACCTGCAGTTTGTGACTTAAATCAAGAGCACAGGAAAAAACTGTTCTCCAAGGGAGCTACATCTGTTACAAGGAGTAGCAGCCTTAACTGCAAACCTTTTCTAGTGGGTCTACATGGTGCACACAAATTTAATCACAGGAGAAGCACATCGCTACGACCATTCTAGAGCATTTCCACAGCTCTGTGGATGTTCTGGCAAGCAGTTGTCTGTTTCTGGCTGTGTTTTCTATTCACCCTGAAGACTTACAAAATTAGCTACTGCTGATGGTGCATTATAATGAAAAAACATCTTATTTATCAGTTTATATAAGATACCCATCAGTTGTGGTATTATAGAGTTATCTCACAGAAATTCATTTGCTGTAAAAGCAGATTATTAGACCCACAATAAAGACTCATGGTCTTCAGTGCAGATTAATCTTCAAATGCTGAACAAAAGCCTACAAGGACAAGTACGCTTTACTTTGAAAACACAAGTAGCTTTAGTGGAAACATTTTACAAGTGAAAATCTCTGGCATATTTAGAATTTTGAAAATATGGACCTACCTGTTCTGAGAGGATCCAGAAAGAAGAAGAACTTTCTAACCGCTGTGCAGACATAGAAGGAGTAAAAAGATTTTTCTAAGCCATCCAGTTGTGGCAAAGTAGGGATTAGCTCCAAAATATAGTTTTCTAAATCCTGCAGAATTAAGAAAGAAAAGTTTTAAACACTACTATTGTCGCATGCTTGCTGCATCCCACCGTGACTTTCAAGTACGCTTTGTTAAAAATATAATCCTGTAACAATGCAGGAAAGAGCATGAAAGCAGGTAAAAAAGCTTTTGTCTCTGTGAAGGAAACCCCAGATCATATATGTGCACATGTGATTCCATTACTGAAACAATCTACTAATAAAGCAGAATTTACAAAGGACATGATATTTACATGTAAATATAAATGCATTCACTGTACCTTTTTCAAATATGAATGCATAACTCCTAATTGGATTATTCCATTGCTGAATATTCTTTGATACTTTTTTTTAAAGTAGAGTGGTAACTAAGGCATTTTTATTTACTTTCTAATATTAATTCCTGTTAGGAGAATAATTCACTGAAGAATGAATAATTTGTGATTTTTACTACATCCTGCTAAATCTAGTGAAGTGCTAATGACATGTAACCTTAGTCTCATGAAACTACAGTCTCCTTTTACAGACAATTACCCATATGCTAAAAAGGCTAGCAGCACTGTCACCACCAAATCTCTAGAATACATGAATTGTTATTTATCCAAACAAATGTGCCCGCCCCAAATCTACATTATGATACTTTTACGAGACAAGACAAGAACAAAATTGGACTCTTTCTGATGCTCTGTCATTTGATTAAAAAGAGACATGAAATTAATCAAGAATTTACTCACTGATTCTCTGAGGTAGCCTTGTCCTGCCACATCATATAAACTGAGACCTATTCTTGTCTGATGAAGCCATACTGTGAACCAGAAAACAGAATTAAAATGTGAGAAATCCATGGGGCTTTTCAGTTCTCACCAAAATTTGAAGTTGTTCTAGAGGCCATAAGGCACAGTCAGATATTAAGTGCCTCTTCCCATTTCTCTGAGATTTAAGCAAAGCCATGTCATGTACTGCTTAGAAACACTGTTTCAGTCTTTAATTTTGTAAGAGTCACTGGTAATATACGGTACGCTGTGGTCAAGACTGCATTATAACAACTAGATGCGAAAAATGGCAGAGCAGACAACACATTTTCTTTCTTATATCATTTAATGGCTTGGATTGGAAGGGACCTTAAAGATTCATCCAATTCCAACACTCCCCTACCCCCCCCATAGGCAGAGATGCCACCCACTACATCAGGTTCCTCAAAGCTCCATCCAACCTGGCCTTGAACACTTCAGGGAGAGTGTATCCACAACCTCTCTGGACAACCTGTTCCAGTGCCTCACCACCCTCTGAGTAAAGAATTTCTTGCTAACATCTAATCAAATGCCTCCTCTTTTAATTTAGAACTGCTCCCCCTTGTCCTATCACTATCTGCGCACGTAAGAAGTCACTATCCCTCTCTTTCACATGGTCCCTTTAAGTACTGAAAGGCCACAATGAGGGTTCCCCAGAGCTTTCCCTTCTCCAGGCTGAACAACCCTAACTCTGTCTCAGACTATCATCACAGAAAAGATTAATGTCCTTCTTGTGCTGACTCCGGGTGGGGTCTCATGAGTCTCAGAGGTGAGGGGGAGAATCACCTCCCCTAACCTGCTGGCCATGCTGTTTTTGATGCAGCCCGGGATACGGTTGGCCTTCTGGGCTGCAAGCACACATTGTTGGCTACATGAAATTATACGGATTCATTCTCTCCACTGACTTAGAGACATGTAGCAGTGCATTTTCACTGCATTGAACAGCTGTACAATGTCATATACAGACTGCTACAACCCTCTGTATAGCACAAGACACTGCAGCTACAGCCAAAGGTCCTGCCCTCACTTCTGGTTTACAAGAAGAGAATTAGAATAGCACAAGCATCTCTTTTGCAATGAGAAGACACATTAATTGTACAGTCTACAGGACAATGGCCTTGAAGCCATTGTTAAAATACTGTAACAGTGATGAAGTATAGATTAGGCATAAAAACTATTATTCACATACTCAATGTTAAAATTAACTACCATTTTATGAAGAAACCATTCAAAAATTCCTCTTATGCAATACAAGCTGTCCTTCATAACATTCATCTCTTCCAGGTAAGTGTTTCTCAAGGTGGCCTAAGTGTCCCTCAGAGATGGCAGAGGTTATGCAGTGAGGCTGCTTCTTTGTTGGTTAAATTTAAAGGTAAGTGCATCACCGATCATGAAGTGATTTGGTGATGGTGGCTTTTTTTTTGTTTGTTTAGAAAAAGGTAACACCATAAATACACAAGACTTGAAACTTCTGGGTGAAACAAAGCTCTGAAAGAACCTCTGTTGCGTCCAGCCAGGAAGGCCTTTTTGAAATGCACACAATTTTCACAGACTTCTTCACAAGTCTCCTATCCTGCAGCTTTGGGTTTGTTGTTGGAAATGGGTCTATTCCTCCTTTCTTGCATACTGTGCACATCTGCACGCCATGTTTCCTGCTCAACACATCTCTCATCCCTTGCACTAGAAGATTTTAAGTTAAGCAGGCTGAGCTGCTCCAAGAAAGGTGTTGTTCTCCTCTCCCAAAGGCTCTAGCAGATCTAAGAACACAGGAGCCAGGGCAAAAGACAATGAGACAACCTTCCTTTCTGCTAGCCAGCCTAATGTTTTTAAACAAGATCTAATAAAGATTTAAAACGCATTTTTCAGCCCAAGTGGTTAATTACAATAAAAAATAGCTGAATATACAGTAAGGCTACAGTGACAAGCAGAGAAACGTACTGACATATTTGACAAACGCAGTTAGACAACATAGACAATACCACTCTGCAGAAGGAAAAACAACAAACAAAGCTATCTGCCTGATCACAGTGGTTAGGATCACACTTGCCATGGAACTTTATTGTTTTGCACTTCACAGTATTGCCTGAATAAAGGAAATCAGAGTAACAATATATATAATAAACAGCAATATATATAATAAACAGATCAAGGATACCTCTGGCTGGAGAGAAGTGGATTTCAGAGGTAGGGTGGATTCCCACCTCCTAGTAACCAGAAAAAAAAATCACAAGCCTCCAAGAAAACAACATTTGCAGTTAAGGGCTAGATCTCACTGCTGTTGAAGAGAACATCAAGTAATTAATAAAACCAAAAATAGCCCTAAAACAACTTCTCTTTAACACAGAAGTATCGACTAACCTTTTCGCATGACATAATTGAAAAACTGCATGATAGATATCCTCCCATAAGGATCATTATGAAGTAATTTAGCAAAGATCTTCGCTGTGAAAAACTGCCTGTAAAACATAAACACAAAGCTACTTCTATGCATCTGATTACACTGCACTGACAGATCCAGTTACAGTATTTGAAATTTGCAGATACTGTAAAATAACGTTTTAACAACACATAATGTGCTAACATTACACTCATCAAGTGGGATCCTACCAAGTAACAATGGTAAACTCATTAAAAAGCAGCTGCCTTTGCTGCTCATGACTCTTCAGCGATGTGGGAGTTTTGGGAGCCTTTAGTCAACTTAATTTCTCTTTAGTACAGTATGTTTGGTCGCTTCCAATCTTCTACAACATGCACAGAAATGGAACTGCTAGTACTGACAACTAATCTGCTTTTGCCCAAAACTGAATCACAAAGCTATGTGCACAACAGCCACCTCCAGGAGGAGCATAAAGAAGTAACATTCACTGTATGCCGTACACAGAACATCTGGCAGGAAATTCTGCATCAGAAGATAGGGAAGGTTAGGCAATATCTCTGGAGATGTAATTTCCAGTTCAAATACAAAATGTGCGGTATACTGACCACTAACATCATAAAAATACCAATGCTGATAAAAATTTCTTCTTGAAAAGGACGCAGCACTGCTTTTCCAGGTATCTCTATCAATGATAAAGTTCCCTCAGTGATGCAGAGCACTACACTGTTACAAGGATGTAAAGCAACTAGTTCATCGGTAACTACATGGACATGATTTTATCTCACCATTAAACTGTTTCCATCTATTTTAGCAACCAAAACTTAGAGCAGCACTTAGGTTTAGCCAAAGTGAGCATATACAAGTGAAGAAAGCCTTACTTGCATTTTGGTCCAGCTTTTTCACCAACTTTCAGGAAGTTCTCATAATTGATCATTGCTTCTTCCCCAATCATTGGTGATGTCTGATGTTTGTCCAGTAGAAACCATAGGTTCTTAAAAGGTATTTACATTTGGTTAAGAAGATATCTTTCTAGAGATGTGATTGTGCTTAAGATAAAGTGTTTAAGAAACTCAGCAAAAATGTGGGTTTGATGTAAGGTTCTCTCAGTTAATGAGTACACATCGTCGGTTCAGCCAGAAAAGAAAGTGCTACTTCCACTGCCTTAAACTGGTGTTAAACACATGCACACTCTCACCCACTAGGATTTCTAGGGTCGTGCCTCTTTTGTCTTTGCAGTTCAGCAAAATCAACCATCTTTGGAGTCTCTCTCAGTGATACATAAACAGAACTTATTTCATCATCTAGGCCCACTTTTGCATTCATTACGCTGGAAACCCAGAAGCCATTAATTTAGTCCTCATATATGTCATAACGAGGCAGCTTTACACCAACACTACCAGCCCAAGTGTCAGCAGCACTTCAGCTTTAGCTCATACTTCACGACCACTCACTGTGCCCAAATAGAAAGCACCTTACCACAAGATTCTGTGCACAAACAGGAGATAATCAAACTCTGACAGGAGATAATCAAAATTGTTTCAGAAGCCATCACAAGACATACAGAAAATATTTTCATACCTGCAGCTCTTCATTATCCAACAGCTCTCTACTCTTCCTTTGCAGAAAGACAGCCCTAGATTCTTCTCTTAATTTCTGAAGCAAGACTTCATCTTCAGCTGGCAGCTAGAAACATTGTGGCATTTTAATTTTCTGCACCATTCAAAAACTACAAAGCATGTACTCTTAGGTAGTCCTGAGTCATACACTCTGATGAAGCTGTTTACTTGACAGAAAATAGCCAGTCAACCACTGTTTAGTATGTTGCGTGGTACCTGCTTCTGCTACAGGGAATACTTGCATACTGTCTCAAACCATTTCAATACTAACGTATCTATTTAAAGCAGGATATCTTTAACATAAGGGATGGAGATGTACCTCATACCTGATAACCTCCCCAATAAGCACTTTCCCATGGTTGCAAGGTACCAGGGCTCACACATAAATGACATTTACCATTGTGTTTTTGCTCGGGAGAGAGTAGCGCTTTCTATTTTTTGTAGGCATGACTCTCAAAAGTGTGAATGTCTACTAGACTTGTTATGGCCAACAAATAAAATGGAAGAACACCTAGTGTGAAAGTTCTGCCAGCATTCATGTGCCAAACTGTACAGCACTATTGGAACTCAGAGAGCTGCTTATGTATTCATCAATTGAAACATAGGTACTTGAGAACCTAACTGGCAGAAATGCAAGATCCTAAGGAATATGTGACCATGAGAGGTTAGACAGCAGTTGAGCAGTCAAGTTGACAAGTACCAGCAATATCCAGATTTCAAACTTGTGCTCCCATCCCAATCTGATTCATCTCATATCTAAGTTACTGGACCAAACATTTCTGCTGGGTGATGCAAGCAACAGATCTATGTTCAGTCTCCAAGACCAAGGACCCACTGTTTCCATGAAGCAGCATCCCATCGAGTCTAAACAGGAACCAGAAGATACGTATTTACAACACCAGTATGTCAAAATTTAGTTAAAACAGGAAGTGTCTCTGAAAGAGGACTTCCTATCTTTAGCAAGCAGCCTGATGAGCAAACTATTTCATGGACTTTGATGAGATTTAGTAATTATTTAAAACTGCAGAAATTGACAACTGTACAAAACGAAAAATTATGCTAAGCAATTCACATCACTCAGATTTCAATCTACTTTAGCTTCTGAAGCTGCAGGGTCTCTTTGAAGGAGCAAAACTTTCTTTATAATGCAAAACAGCCTCTTGTTAAAGTTTATCTGGATACTGCACTTACCCTGTAGTAAAATCGTGGGATGTTTGTATATGATGTATTGCCACTTGTTTTTCCTCCTTTCCATTCCATGTAATACTTTGTGAACAATTCCATTTCTTCATCTTTTAGTTCTTGTTCACTCTTTTTGGCTGATTGACACAGAAAAGAATTTTCACACTGTACTTCAGAGCTCTAATGTAACCAGGCGCTTGAAAAACAGAGTTAACACTGAGGCTTATACAGCTGTGCTGTTGACTAACACAAATATTAGGCGGAAATTAACGGAGCACAGGCCTATTACATAAATTATATAAGAATGTGCCACACGTATATGTTTTGAGTAAGATATGCAATTGTAGCAGATACACGGGGATGACTGACAGAGCAGCAGCGTTCCTGTTTCACAGGGGCAGCGTTGTTTACGGTGCTGCTTACTGCGAGCAGCAGCATCAATCGCCTTTCCTGCTGCCAGGTCGGGGATGTCCCTCCCCACCCGCACGAGCTCTGTGCGCTCGCTCGCGAATAGAGCGTTCCCAGCCAAGGATGCCGCGGGGGCACGTCCTGGACAGAGCAGCTCCCGTGGCTCGTCACCCCGCCCCTGCTGTCCCTGACCCCAAAACAGGGCCGTCTGCTTCTCCGCAGGGAGGCTCCAGGAGCCGCCCGGCCCCCGCGGGAGCCCGGACAGGCGAACCACGGCAGCACCAGACAGGCCGACGCTCGCCCCGCCGGCCCCCCCCGCCCCCCATTCGGGTGCCCCGGGGCGCTCTCCCGACGCTCCCCGGCCCGCTCCGCGCTCCCGGGGCACTCACGCGCGCGGCGCGCGGCCAGGCGGCCCCGCAGCCTCCGCTCCCACTCCATGGCCCCGCGCGACCGCCCGGCCGCCTCCGCGCGCGTGCGCACCGACGCGCCGCTACCCCTCGGAGCTTCGTGCCCTCATCCAATATGGCGGCTCAGCCCCTCCGCTCCTCCCCCCGCCCGCCCCAGCGGGGCGCGCGGTGAGATGCGATTGGCTCCGCGCGCGGGCGCGCGTCCCAGGCGCCGCGTGCCCCGCTCCGCCCCGCCGCGCAGCGCGCGCCGGCAGCAGAGTCAGGTGGGCCCGACCCGGGGGGGGGGGGGAAGGAAAGGGAAAGAAAGAAGGAGAAAGGGAAAGGGAAAGACTTCCCGTATCGAGGGCCGCGCCGCTGTGCGCACCGGGAGCTGTAGCGTTGGGCGGCGCGGACGGGCCGTGCCCGCGGGGTACCGAGTGAGCCGCAGCAGCCGCCGGACCCTCCGGTATTTACCTTTACAGCCCAACACATACCAGGGATTGCAGTGTAGCTACCGCCCGTGGCGGTGGTCTGCCCCTTTGGCAGCGGCGGTACCAAGGATTTGGGATTGAGGAAACCAGTGAAACGGAAGTTTGCCACAATTTGAAAATTACGAGGGAAGCAATGTGGGAATTGCGTGCTGGGGCTGCCCGAGGGATCGGGGGTGGGATTCCTCACTTGAAATCGTTGAGGTACCTTGAGCTTCGTGTTTGCTGTCATGCAAATGTAAATACGACAGGAAAGAACAGAGCAGGTCATGATGTCCTGGTGTTATTTCTGTTTTTAGGAAATCTTCTGTCTCAACTTGGATGAAGGCAGGAAGAAAACACCCTGTGCTTTTTGCGTAGTTGCATCGGAGTTCCCTTTCTGTGTACAACATACACAGGACTCATCTTTGCTGTAACCAACATACAGATATTATAAGATGCAAACCTGCAAAGCATCTTCTCTAGAAAGAAAGATACCGTCATTTTGAATGGATGTCCTCACAGTCTAAGAGATTGATTTTTGTGAAAAAATATTTTACCAGTTTTTGTTTCCGTAAGAGACAAAAACGACTGTCAGAGCAAGCATTTTGAAACAAGTTTATGCAGCTTGACAGCCCTTGGGCTTTTATTAATAAACATCCCCATACAAGCTGTACAAGTGCATCAGATACAGTGAGCTAATAGTGACATAATTTCTTCTTGTGATGGCACTCTTTTCTCAAACTAGTCACCGGGGGTTTCAGGCTTTGTTATGGAAATGTCACATGTTCTGGCCTGTTTCAAGATGCCTTGCTGCCTCTTTCAGCATCCCTACTAGGGAAAAAATTAACTATTTCAGTTTTATGACATCTTCCAGCACTGCATTACCAGTGGACCCCAAAGAAACTGGTGTCTTACCTACTGAGAAAAGGTCTGAAATTGATTGCAAAGAAGAAAAAGGATGGGATGAGGAGACTAAAGAAATACCTGAAGGAAAACACCACTTTTCTTCCTCTGTTGGAGCTGCAAAGAAATGGTCAATGAGTCCAGTTGTGTCAAGGCATAAGTTTACAAATGTACAACCTCCAGAAAAACCTTTGCAGTCTGAGGAATGGAACAGACTAAGGGAAAACTTCCAATTACCTGAAATATTTGAAGAATTGATGTTGAACAGTATGATAAGGTGCAACAGCCCCATTGATGTGGCCAAGTCCTTGCTGACCCACGTGGCAAAGCGTAATGGTGACATTTCATACAGTGTGTTGGTCAAATACCTGACACTGTGTGTCCAGCAGGGACAGGTCTCAGAAATCCGTGATGTGTATGATATAATGAAAGTCAGATTTAAGATTTTAGAAATTGGGGCTTACAACCTTTTTATCAAGGGGCTGAGTAATTCGGATCAGTGGAGAATGGCCTTGACTCTTTTGGAAGAAGCAAAAAAGATTATGATTCCCTCACGGACAAGCTATGAATCCTGTATCAAAGCAGCCAGCTGTCACCAAGAAATGAAACTTGCTTTTGAGCTTTACCATGAAATGTTGACTAAGGATGTGGTCCCAACTTTGGATGTCCTGCAGTCATTTTTTGATTTCAGCAAGGGTATGAAAGGTGCTGAGTTACAAAAAGAGCTGTTTGGCATCCTCTTATATTTGAGAGAGAACCAAATATACCCTCACGAAACATTTATGCAGAGTATAAAGCTCTGGTTTGAAAGGTAAATGTTTCCATAGCGAGGTGCAGTTCATGAGGGTGGGATTCACATTATCTTACAGATTAAGAACCCTCAGCATCTCATTTTGGTAGTTGCTTCTCCACAAAAGACATGTTGTCATGAAAAGATGCATTTTATTTTTGTTCCCAAATTAGTGTGAAAGTGTAAAATTCTTACTGATTTCACCTTTTATGTTACTTCTTGGTACAGAAAGTAGGAAATTGCAATGGGTCATGGCTGTCCAAAATAGCCGATTTTGTCTCTTTCTGGGGTGGTACATAAGGAATATTGACAGGAATATGAGGGTTTTTCCTGTAATCTATTGGAGTGTAGAAGTAGTAAGTTATTTGAAGGTTAGATAGTTTCTTTCTTTGAAAAAAAGAGACAGCAAATTCAACTTAATTAAGTGAAGGTTAAATGTATTGACTTTGTATAGAATACTAGGAGATGAATAATCTTTAAATGAGACTCTGTTTTAGCACAGTATTTAGCAGGCCATGCAGTTTGTTTTCATGAGTAGTGATGGTCAGACTGCTAACTACAATTAGTTACAATGCACGTGCACAGAGGGGTTCACCTGAGTCCACTACATGTTTGTCATGAGGTTGTATGTGAGCCCATCTATGATTTCTTTTTTTAGCTGTTGGCTTCGTTTTGTGTGAGCTACAGAGCCATTTTACAAGTTAGTCTGCTGCATGAAAAATATGGCAGCAGGAATGCACTACCATTATTGGAATAGTTTATGAATGTGCAGGGCAGCAACTTAAAAGTTGTCAGTGCACCACAATTATTTGTATAGTTCTTAAAATTTGGTGACAAGATAAACTGGGGAGATTGATGGTGTTACTTCTTTGCATGTTGTTAAATGCTGGTTCTTTATATAATAATTTCAGGCATTACTAAATTATATATGAATCTTCATATAATTTCTTTGCAGGGTAGATGATTGATTGATTTTTTTATTTCTAAATGTTGACCAAAATATAATTATTCTTTATCTATAATTCAGGTGTTGTTAAATAAGAATATAATGTTTTTATATATCTTTCCCTCTGTACGTATTAGTATACCAGGAAGGAACTGGAGAGGACACCTGACCAACATTAAAGACAGGTAAACGCAACATTTTATTTAAAAGTGATGTGTTGTCTTGTCTTGATTATTCTGTTTTGAACTCTTCATTTTTAAATGTAAAAAAGCTTTCCTTATATACAAAAATATTTTAATCCTCGAGAATACAAACCTTTGTTGTGACATATGATTTCACAAACTCCACTTTCCAACTCATTCTTGTACATTATAAAAGACCAGGCATGCACATTTGGAATTGAATTATGCTAGGCAGAGCTAAGATGGAAAAGCACAGGGAAAAATAAGATGTGCCATTTTACTGTGTGGCTTATTTGTCTACTGTTTAGGAATTAAAGACTTTCTTTTTTGTTGGCTTTATAATACCATTGTTTAACAGGATATGTAGCAGAGAAGCTTTGGTGTGTAAAGGGATATCTTCTTGAAAACTGATACTATTTGCACACTACAGTTGATTTGTACAGATGGAAGGTTTTTCCCTTCCTACCTGATTTTCAGTGAAGACAAAATGGTTCTTAGGTTTTCACAGGCATAGCTTGGGTACGTGTTTCTATTACAGTGCAGTTTTCTTAATGTCTGTAAACTGCTATTTTAAATGTTATTCTATTTGAAACCTTGTTCTGTGCTTTTGTAGCAATTTGGCAGCTATAAATAAATTATAAGCATGTCTCCAATGGATTGTGGGGTTTTTAGGTGGGTTATAAAAATACTCCATGTTGCATACTCTGAAGTAAAAGCACACATAGAGCCTGCAGCTCTTGAAGCCCTTGAAAGAACAGCATAACTCACTGTCTTAAGAGTGGTTTGCTATATGAGACTGGGTGCTCATATAACTGTAAAGTTACCATTGAACACATCTAATTGCACTAAGTAACTTCAGGTGGGCAACAGAGAAGAAAGGCCTAATGAACTGTTATGAAACAATATTATCAAGATTAAGCCTACAGTTTAAAGATCTGTCCCATAGTTAATTTGGGACAGATGAACTACATGAAAAAGGAAAAAGAAATGGTCAGACAGGACGTTAACAGACATTGTCAAACTCAGTTTAGGAAAAAATAGTTCTGAATTTTTTAACTCAAGACTCATTTTTTAGCAATAAAGAAACAAGTAGTGATTAGTTGTCGGGAGATAGCAATGTAAAGCTGCTTTCTGTTTAGGTGGAGTCGGCCAGATATTGGAAGATCTCTGGTGGAACTGGGCATCGTACAGACATGCGGTGCCAGTGTGAGTTAGTATTGCTGAGGGCTTTCAAAGCAAACAGTATTTCTGTTTTAGTCACATTCTCCTCTCAGTCTGTTCACTCTGGCCACCTTGGAGAGAGCTGGGAAACATTCTTAGCCTAGAATTAAGGGGAAGTCTGTTGGCAAAAGACAAGTGACGCAAATAAGTCAATCTTGCTCATTGTTTGCTTTTCCAAACATACAACAAATTTATATTACCTTTTCCTTCTTTCCTTTTTTTTTTTCCCGTTCTTTTGAGCAGGGTTATTCCTACATCTGTGGAGGTTTGGTTATTCTAAACTTGGATAAACAAGGCACATATAGCTTAGCTTTTTTTGGTAGGAGCAGTCACTGGCACAACAGTGGAGCATTTCACAGGTGCGTTTTTGTGTTGTAACATTTGGAATGGATTTATAGCTAGACCAAGGCTCTGTGGCATGCCTGCCAGCTTCAGCTAGCATATGTACAGCTGCTTCATATGTTCTGGTGAGGCCAGTGCAACAGCATCACCTTCCCACATTGAGATCAGGGATGTGTGTATCCACAATGACTTTCCTATCTAGTAGGGAAACTTCCAAATCTTAGAGGTGTGGGAATTTGTGGTAATGCTGAGAATTGAACTCTGATCTTTCAAGGCCTAAATAAATGCTGATGTGCAGAGTTTTAGTCCTAAATCTTCAAATATCTCTAGAGCTAAATCTTTGATCCTGATGCCACAAAATCACATAAAAATATTTTTAGTGACTTTAACAGGTTTTGGATGCATCACAGAAAGAGTACAACTAATTTTCTGATGATTTTACCCTGTTGGGGTTCTTGTAAAGAATTGTGCTCATCAATAGACACTTGGTAAGTCGGTAATATTTAAGGTATTTCTTATTTAAACACCTTTTTCCTTTTATTTTCTTGTGTTATTGTTATTTCAGTGGACAGTGCCCAGTTTGCAACCATCAGTTGGAGGATAGCAACCTCACTGAAGAGGAGTATAATAATCTCAGTGAAAGAATAATAAGGGACGTGATACATGGAACTGACACTTTTAGAAAGACAAGCCCACAGGTAGGTCTTGCACCCAGTCAGGTTCATTGGCTAGGAGGGTGTCAGGTTTGAGAGCCCCAAAATCCCATTCCCTAGTCCAAGCCCCCCTCCCACATCTCAACCCAGTGTGAGATGGGTTTTCCAGACACCGCACGAGACTCAAAATGGGGGGAAGGGATTATATATTACAATGACTGTACAAAATAAATACTACAATACATTATATACAATCTTAACTATCTCTACCGTGACATAAAAGTATTTACAATGGATCAAATCTCTTCTCCTCTCTAAATAAAAGTCCGGGAGGGAAGAAGGAAAAGATCCTTTCCGCTCTCAGAGCAGCAGTGTCTTCAGGGCAGCAGTCTATCTCTCTCTCTCTTCCATGCAGCAGCTGTAGCTGGATCTCTGCCAGTACACGCGAGGGGGGGTATCCAAGCCCTCGTGGCTCTTCATCTCCAAGTGAGGGTCTTCTCTTCCGTAGGCTGTGTTTACCGGGACAAAGGTCACTTCACTACGGTTATATCACAAAGCACAGGGGTCTTCGTGACGGTCCCTATCTTCAGGGGATTCAATCCCCTTTGCAGAGCTCCGTGCTCTTGACTCAAAGCAGCAGGGGGGCGAAGGCCCTCCTCTGCATTCCTTTGGCCGTCCTGGTCCAGCTTCCAGGACGCCTGAGCTTTTCAGCTCCTCTCTGCAGTGCTGCTGCACTTCACCCCTCCCTTTTAGGAGGGGTCTCCAAGGAGTTTGGGGGGTTTTGGTTCAGTTCTTACTCCAAAACTCTGTCTCTATAGAGCTTAGTTCTGCTCTCTCTGCTGCTGTCTCTCCTTCTCTCGAACAACTCTTTGTCTTCCTTGGCTGCATGCTGTTGCTGTTCCTTATCTCTTCTGGCTCTCTGCCACCATTTCTCTGTCCAGTGTTGTTTTTGCTGCCGCTTCTGCTGCTCACGGTGGAGAAAAAAAACTTCCAGCTTCTCAGTCACAGACCTCAGTCCAGTTTAACACTGTTTCCGAGTTTCTATGACTCCAGCCGGGGGCTGGTGGGGGAGCCAGAGCCCCCCAGGGCGCTCCTGCCCCTTCTTCTCATGGCTCTACAACATGGCCACCTCTCCAACAACAACTACAACTACCTTCTCTTTCGGTCTGCTTGTGATATGTTTATATTTTGCAGAAGCGCTCATTGGCTAAAATCCCCAAGGGTCACCACCCCCTGAGGATTTACCATTTTATAACTTCAGGGGGGAAAACTGTTTCCCCCCACCACAGAGGGTAATATGCAGTTAATGTTCAAGCACTTAACACCACAAATTCTTTGCTTTAAAACATTAATAGGCCATTAGATACTGAAGTATCCTATGTGTCTATTTCAGTTGGGTTTATAAAATGGGTCTAAATCTCGGCATCTTTCATACTGTCTTTGTTCTTACATTTACAACCAGCTACTAATGGATACTGAAATAACTAAAATGTGGGAGTTTTATACATACAAAATTAAAAAGGTGTGGAAATCTTTTAATCCCCCGAGAGCTAAATTTTAAATATGGAATAAAACCCAGTAAATACCCTAGAACAAAACAAAATATCTGATATTTTCAGCTTGCAAAAGAAGTAAAAGAATGGTTATCATTTTGTTCAGTCACCTTTCACAGCCCACCAAACAATCAACTACTCATCGATTTTAAAGATACACTTTCATATTTATAATTACAGTATACATTAGGAGTATCAAGCTTTTCAAAGGTCATGGTAAACATATGAGAGGGTGTAATTCCCAGACACTACAGTATATTGCAGTTCTATGACTTCAGTAAAGCCTTTGACACTGTCTCCCATGGCATTCTCCTGGAGAAGCTGGCAGCCCATGGCTTGGGCGGGTACACTCCTCGCTGGGTAGAAACCTGGCTGAATGGCCAGGCCCAGAGTGTGGTGGTGAATGGAGCCACATCCAGCTGGCAGCCGGTCATTAGTGGGGTTTCCCAGAGCTCAGTATTGGGGCCAGTCCTGTTTAATAATCTGGATATGAGAGGATCAAGTGCACCCTCAGTAAGTTCATAGACTACACCAAGCTGGGCAGGAGTGTGGATCTGCTGGAGGGCAGGAAGGCTCTACAGTGAGATCTAAACAGGCTGGATCCATGGGATGAGGCCAATTGTATGAGGTTCAACAAGGCAAAGTGCTGGGTCCTGCCCTTGGGTCACAACAACCCCAGGCAGCACTACAGTCTTGGGGAAGAGCAGCTGGAAAGCTGCCTGGTGTAAAAGGACCTGGGAGTGCTGGTCAACAGCTGGGTGAATGTGAGCCAGCAGTGTGCCCAGGTGGCCAAGAAGGCCAATGGCATTGTATCAAAAATAGTGTGGGCAGCAGGACTAGCAGAGTAGTTGTCCCACTGTAGTCAACACTGGTGAGGCTGCATCTCAAATTCTGTGTCCAGTTCTGGGACCTGACTTCAAGAAAGGCATTGTGTGTCCAGAGAAGGGCAGTGAAGCTGATGAAGGGTCTGGAGCACAGGTCCTGTGAGGAGTGGCTGAGGGAGCTGGGGTGGTTTAGCCAGGAGAAAAGGAGGCTCAGGGGAGACCTTATCACTCTCTACAACTACCTGAAGGGAAGTTGTAGCCAGATGGGGATCAGTCTGTTCTCCCAGGCAATCTGTTCTCCCAGTGACAGAAGAAGACATAAAATCAAGCTGTACCAGGGGAAGTTTAGGTTGTAGATCAGGAATAATTTTTTCACTGAAAGGGTGATTAAGATTAAACACTAGAACAGACTGCCCAGGGAGGTGGGGGAGTCACCATCTCTGGAGGTGTTCAGGAAACGACTGGACGACGCACTTGGTGCTGTGGTCCTGTTGACAAGGTGATGATCGGTCACAGGTTGGACTCAATGGTCTTGGAGGTCTTTTCCAACTCATTTCGTGTGGAGATAACTGATGCGGCAGTAGCAATACTGAATGAAGGTGAGCCCCACTAGATGGAGCCCACACCACATCTTAGAGTGGGTTTGCTTTACCTCTATCAGTATTGATGAAGGCTTGTTGCAGCTGGCACCCCGGTTCTTCACCGGCTCTGAAAATATGGACTATTTAATTCTTCAGGCTTTCTGCGGGCACAGAAACAGTTGCACATGTGTAACGGTTACAGAAACTTGAAGCAGTTAGTGTTGGGGTGTTTGTAGTACATGCAGCCTATTGTGCAGACATCTAATTTTCACACGGATTTTCTCTTCAGTTCAGGACTTTTTATCTGATCTAGCTGTGAATCGTACATGAGAATAAAATTACCCTTAAAAATGTAGCAGTAATTTTAAGTATTTAATGGATACTGATGTTCTATAATTTCATAAGATAAACAAAAGGTTGTGTTTTATTGCATGCTGTATGGCTTGGAAATTTCAAGTGTGTCTAGTACACAGGACTAGATTAGCAGTGACAGTTGAAGGCAGGGAGATTTAGGGAAGGAGTTCTGGGTAACAGGACCTTCACATTCAAGCTGAACAGTAGCAGAAATTATAGTCCCCCTGTGTAAGAAACTGATTGATGAAATAAATGCAGTCTAATGAAACAAATACACTATATTAAGTTTTGATGCTGGTAGATTCTGTTAGTGTGTGTGATAGCTGAAATTCCATCATTTACCATTCTGGGGCCACCCACTTGCTGCTTCAGGTTGATTTTGTTCTAGTTCTGTATCAGCAGGCAGTCACTGGTGGAGTGAATGGAGATGAATTTCGTGTGTTTGCTGTTGCTTAAAGTCTGCTTCCTCAGTGAATTTTGAGCATGGATGTGGGAGTAGTGGTGAAATGGTGTCATAATGTATCAGATATTTCCAGAAATAAATTTGGGACTTTCTAGTTGCCTTTGTGCTGTGAAAGCAGACATGTGGTCATGAAAATATGCTGCCCATTTTAGGTCTGCCAGACTGTGTGACTTCTGCAGCCAGGGTTCAGCCAGGGTTTTCCAGAGGGGAAGTTAGGTGATGAGGATGAAAATAGGATGTAAGCAAGTATATCTGAAGGGGGTGTGTGTCCATTCTCCAGTCAGTTACTTTTTTGTAGTAGCCACACTTCAAATAGAAAACGTTTTAGCTTTGTATTCCTTCTTTTATCCTAACTAGTTTTCTTTAGTACATCTGTGCTTCTTGCAATGAAGTGATTAATCAAGGAAACACTTTAAGTTGTGAGCTCTGAACTTTTTTTTTCCAACAATATTTCAAATTGAATATGTAATACATTTGGAATATCTTTTTTCTTCAGTGAGGAATAGTCTTTTGTCTTACTTTTGCAGCGGTGTCGTTGCTTTATTTGATTTTATTTCTCTCACTTAAGAATAAATGTGGTCAGAGTAGAAAATTAGGAGTAAAGACTTGGTTTGTTGAGAATCCCCCAAAAGTAATCTGTTGTGGGTGATTAAAAAAATGAATCGTTTTTGTAATTAGTTTTAGGAAAGAAAATCAAACAATGTAGGTTTGTACATCAGAATGGTAGTGAACACTGTTTACAAGTATGTTGAAAAGATGGCTTGCATGAACTATAAAACTGATTATTTGTGACGAGGAAATACCTGTTACACATTAAAAATAGACATTGATTCAGATCCATATGCACAGCTGTTTAAAGGTCTATTAGGATGTCACACGATGATCTAATATACCGAGCTGCAGCCTTGCAAACTGCCATAGGGAGAAAACAGTTGGAATAAGATTGTCACCTTTCGTACCGAATTTCTGCGTGATGTTTGCAGTCAGATGACTGTTGACTCTGGCTGTATTTGATTGGGAGCTATGCCATTGAGCCTGAGAGGATATAATTGGTCTACTGGGAGGCAGAATCAACTTTTACTGTGATGACTTTCATGTCGCAGCCACTCCTGAATATTTCTCTCAAATACACAAATGCTGTAATTTGCCTTTTGAGGCTCCTTCATACATTTGATAAGCCTGAAAGGATGGTTGTGCAGTGGGAAGGAAGCACATTAGAAATGTGTATGTGCTGTCAAGAAGGCAGGAAAAGATGGGTTTGTGGTCATGT